CCACCTCAACACCTTTCTTAACCAACAACTCGATCACATCCCCATGACCTAACTCCGTCGCACAGTGCAACATAGTGTACCCGTCCTCATCCTTGGCATCAACCTCAACTCCTTTCTCTAGTAGTGCTCGAACCGTCTCAACCCGTCCCTTAAAGCACGCCCTATGGAGAGCGGTCCATCTATGTTGATCTCGTCCGTTGACCACCGCGCCATTCTCCAGAAGCCAGAGAATTGCCTTCACCTCTCCATTCCTCGCGGCCAAACACAGGCTATCCCCTAGTCGGAGCACATCAAAAAGCCTAGAGTGCCCATTCTCGGCCGCCACATCATAGGGCATTCGATGGGCGTAGTTTCTAATGTCCTTATTCGCTCCCTTTTGCAACAAGAGCTTCACCATGTGCTCATCCCCGAGGGCGGCCGCAACATGCAACGGTGTGTCTCCATCGAGCGCGTCTCGACTGTCCGCCCTTGCCCCACTGATCAACAAAAGCCTCGCACAGTCCCTTTTCCTATCCTCAACTGCTAGGTGTAGAACAGTATAGCCATCTTTTGTCAATGCATCAACATTTGCTCCTTTTAGTATAAGAAACCTCAACACCTCCACATGACCGTTTCGGGCCGCCAGATGAATTGGCCCGAAAGAAGAATTCTCAGATCATTCGCAGAAGGCCTTTCGGGCCAACAAAAGCTCAACAATCAAGGCCTCTCTGGCCTCAGAAGCAGCCTCCATCGGGCTACAGCCAGATCGACTCTGGGCCTCCAAATCAGGCCCAAACTCAAGAATTAACTGGACAATATCAGGCCGGCCCTGAACGATAGCCAAATGAAGCAAACTCTGCCCATCCGAGTCCACCGAGTCAGCAGCCTCCCAACTAGGGTCACTCCGCTTAAGAACTTCTCTAACTTCTTCCATCAAACCACCCGTCATGAATCGTGCTAGGATCGGTGACCCGACAAAGATTATCTTAATCCCACTGTAGGTGAAAAGCTGCTTTTTCTTGGTGGTGAACCAGTTGGATGGAACGGCG